GCCCCCAAAAACCGAAAAAAAAAAAAAAAAAAAAAAAAGAGGCTAAGTAACTTACCCAAGGTATTAAGCTCTGGTATTCATAACTTATTCAGAGAAAATATAATAAATCAAACCACCAAAGGCGGTTGGTACCTAGTTTTAGAAGACCAGATTCTCCAAGAGACTGAAAAATGTTGCCTGCAAATCCATAAGCAAAAGATGTGTTCTTATTAACCTAAGCAAGAGTGGTAATGGGCTGCCCTTTCAGCCAAATTATTTACATTGTGCTGGGGAAGGGAATGATGCTGCTAATGGGAGGGTTTTTTTTTATTCTAGAAAATGACAAAAGATCATTTGGTAGAAGAGAAAACTTCTCTCCAGAAAAGTCTTCTTTATTATGAAAGTCAACATGGAAGGCCGGTAATGTCTCTCTTGCTGAAAAGATTTGATTTTCTGTCTTAAAGAACATGAATCGCTTTTGTGGCCCACATCTTCAGAGCTGTTTCATAGAGCATTGTTTCCTACATTTGGGAGATTGCCTACTTATTTAAAATTACTTTTTAAAAATTGCAGGGAAAGTCATATTGCTTAATGTTTTAGAAATTTTAGATTTCTGATGACTAGGTGATTTCCATTTTTCTTGCTTCAGGTAACCAGGGAAGAAAGACACATTGTTAAACCTCTTTATGATAGATACAGACTTGTAAAACAGATGCTGACAAGAGCTAGCATCACTCCTGTCCTTGTAAGTAAAACATGCGAATATTTATCTAGTTCATTTTACCAAAACCTACTCTTTAAAAAAAAATTATTATTATGGTGGTATATTAGAGAAATACACAGCCAAGGTAACAAGAATTGTGTATGTAAGGTGAGGTTACTGCTTTAAAAGAATAGGAAGTTCATAATAAATGCCTGCTATTACCTCCCAGGCACTCTTATAAGCATTTTTACTTATGATTTTGTCATTAAGTCCTGACAAGTTAAGTCACAACAGGTAGAGAGGATGGTAGCCTCATTTCACAGATGATGAACCTGAAACTCAGGAGTGATGTACCCAGGGTTACCTACTTGTAGAATTAAAAACTCATATTTCAGACCCTTGCCTAATTTCTTTCCATTTAAATTCATGCCTTTGAAAATACATTACTTTTGTGATGGCCATCATGATGATGTTCACTTAATTGCACAATAATGTAAACTGATTTTTTTTTCAAGTCATCTTTTTTAACAAAAAAGTCTATTAAAATAATACTTCTTCATATATATGTGCATTTTTTTGAGAAAAAATGAAAACTCAAATGCTAATGTGCATATTAAGTGCTATCTCCAAATTAACCATTAGATGGTATGGCTCTAGATGTCTCTCAGGCTCAAATAGAAAACAGCATGTGCCCGTTCTGCATCATCTCCTAGGAATTAATTCTCTGGAGCTTATGGTTTGCTTAAGCTTGCAGGCCATTTTTATGTTGATGGCCTCTTGAAATAAGGGTTCCCTTTAGGCTTCGACTCTCTGGCTACTCATTATTAGAATGTTCACAGTGGCTTTCTGAGCACCTTTTATTTAGCCCTTATATAAACATTCTTCTTTAACTGGCTGTTTTTTTAGTTGGCCATCTCTTAACAGTATTTAGATATAATCAGTTTTCTTTGAACAGTGAATCCTGTATAGTTTATATTCTTTTCACACATAAGATAGTTTAATACAGATTTTATCTTTTGATTACAAGGTATTTTTTGTGTGTCACTGACATTTTCATAATTCCATAATAGTATAAATAGTCTTTGAATTTATGAAAACCATCTTAGAATTCCACACATTTGTTTTTAAAAACTGAGTCTATAGGAAGCATTTCTAGATCTTATGGACGCCTAAATATGACTGTCGTAAAGAGAAATTTAGAATCTAAAAATTAAGCCAAGACAATAGGAAAGAATCGTTTTTCCAACAGATGGCGCTAGCAGTTCCTCAAAAGTTTAAACGTAGAATTACCTTATGACCTAGCAGTTCTCTTCCTAGGTATATACCCAAGAGAATTGAAAACATGTCCACACAAAAATTTGTAGACAAGTCTTCAGAGTAGCATTGTTCATAATAACCAAAGTGTAAGAACAGTCCAGATGTTCAGCCAACTGATAGATAAACATAATGGGGTATATCTGTATAGTGGAATATTATTCAGCCATGCAAAGGGATGAAGTACTGGTACACACTACAACCTGGATAAACCTTAAAAACATTTATGCTAAGTGAAAAAAGCCAGACACAAAAGGCCACATATTGTATGATTCCATTTATATGAAATATCCAGAATAGACCAGCCCATTGAGACAGAAAGTAGATTGCTTGCCATGGGCTGGGAGAGAGGGCTCATGAGTACAGGGTTTCCTTTTGGGGTGATGAAATGTTCTAGAATCAGATAGTGGTGATGGTTGTACAACTTTGTGCATATATTAAAAAACCACTAAATTGTACACTTTAAAAGAGTGAATTTTATGGTATATGAATTATATCTTTTTAAAAATATTTATTTATTTATTTATTTAGCTAGCAGTGCTGGTTCTTAGTTGTGGCACACGGGTGGATCTACGTTGTGGCATGCGGGATCTTCTAGTTGCGGCATGCGGGATCTTTAGTTGCAGCATGCAAACTCTTAGTTGCGGCATGTGAGATCTAGTTCCCTGATCAGAGATCGAACCCGGGCCCCCTGCATTGGGAGCACGGAGTCTTAGCTACTGAACCACCAGGGAAGTCCCTATGGTATATGAATTATATCTTAATGAAGCTGTTATTTTTTAAAAAGGAGTATAAAGGGGTCCTCAGACCAAAAAAGTTGACAGCTTGGTTAAAAAGAAAAATGCTCCCAATTAAATAAATAATATGTCACACATTATTATTTAGAATTTTAAAAACATTTATTGAATGAGCTCTTTTAGAATTACCTAGACATAAATTCTCATTTGTCACTCTTATGGATACATAACAAGAAAAAAGCAAAAATAAATTTAGTAAGGAATTCCTAAAAAATTTTAAAGCATATGGTTAGAATTTTGAAAATAAAGTTTAAGATCTGTTCAACTTTATTTTAACTGTAATAGTGAAGTGAATCTTCATTGAACATTTTAAATACTTAAAGTGTAACCCACTTAAATGTTTATTGTTACAGGGATCTCCATCCACTAAGCGAAGGGGTCAGATGTTACAGCCAATCATAGAAGGAGAAACTGCACATTTTTTTGAAGAAATCAAGGTAATCCTTAAGAGAAATTATTCTCTGATCTTTTTCCTAAAGGAAAAATTGAAATCATGGCATGTTTGATTCTCTGTTTGGATATATTTTTAGGAAGAAGAAGAAGAAGATGGCGTTAGTCTGTCCTCTGAGTTAACTGATATCTTGAAAACTGCTGTACAGGCACAGTCTTCACTGGAAAACTCAGAATCTGATATGGAAGAAAATCAAGAAAAACTGGCTCTAGATCTCCGATTGTCAAGTACTCGAGCAGCTTCTATGTATGTATCCTGGTTTGTGATTTTAGCCTATTCATATAATAAAATTTATATGCAAAGAAATTCAGTGTTAAATAATTGAGTAAAGAAAAGAAATACACCCATTTTGAAAAGTGTGCTTTACAAATATATGTTGTGATTCACACTTTCTTTATTGAAAATTAGTGTGTTTTAAAAATTAAAAAAAACGGGCTTCCCTGGTGGCGCAGTGGTTGAGTCCGCCTGCTGATGCAGGGGACACGGGTTTGTGCCCCGGCCCGGGAAGGTCCCACATGCCATGGAGTGGCTGGGCCCGTGAGCCACGGCTGCTGAGCCTGCGCGTCCGGAGCCTGTGCTCTGCAACGGGAGAGGCCACAACAGTGAGGGGCCCATGTACCGCAAGCAAGCAAGCAAATAAATAAACAAACAAACAAATAAATAAATAAAACTAAACTCCTACGTTTGCTGTATGACAAAGTGCTAGAACCAGCTGAGAGTCGTCTGTTAGTTTGTGCTCTTTGAGCTTCTTTACCTGATGTGGCCTTTGGTTCTAGTTGTTAGCCCTGGCGTCACTTTAGGATCACGTGGGAAGTTGTTTTGTTTTTGTTTTTGTTTTAAATACTTATGCAGAGCCCTACCAGCAGCTGTTCTGATTTAGTCACTCCAAGGTGAAACCTAAGACATTGGTATATTCTAAAAGCTCCCCAGCTGGCTTGATTTTGCAGCCAGGGTTAGAAACACTGTTAAGAACATAATGAATCAAAAGTGCCCTTTCAAATGTTTCTTCCCATTTCAATTTTAGGCCGGAATTACTGGAACAACTTTGGAAAGCCAGAGCTGAAAAAAAGAAACTACGTAAAACATTACGGGAATTTGAAGAAGCATTTTATCAACAAAATGGAAGGTTTGTTGAGCATCACAAAATTGAATCTTCTTTCTTCTTAAACTCCCAAGTGCCCATATGTTGAAATAAAGAAATATATAAGAATAGAAATAAATTGTGCATATAAGGATGTTAGCATTGAAAATAACAGTAAAAAACATTCCTTTAGGGCTTCCCTGGTGGCGCAGTGGTTGAGAGTCCGCCTGCCGATGCAGGGGATACGGGTTCGTGCCCCGGTCCGGGAAGATCCCACGTGCCGCGGAGCGGCTGGGCCTGTGAGCCATGGCCGCTGAGCCTGAGCATCCGGAGCCTGTGCTCCGCAACGGGAGAGGCCACGACAGTGAGAGGCCCGCGTACTGCAAAAAAAAAAAAAAAAATTCCTTTATACTGTGCAGCCCTGCTGTTAATGGAAAGAAAAAGTCAGAGCTGGAGTAAACAACATCTGACAAAATATTTCAGGATTGTCCTAGAGAATGCTTGGTTGAGTGGCAGTTATTTTATGTTCCTTAATTCAGTATCCTCATCCTTTTGGAAGTGTTTGTGAAACGAGATCTCCTTTTAGAAAGGGCCCCAAATATGAGTGGTATCCTAACTAGTTTGGATTCTTATACTGAGACCATTGCTGCTTAGGCTGCATGTTGGGTCATTCTAGGGCACGTATTTCCAAGGTATGTATCAGTGTGGCAGTCATGTGGCTCCCCTGTAATACAGTATGGCAAGTGCCTTTATCTAACTGGGTAATACACAGTTGACCCAGTGGGACTCTTTTAAAAAAGTAAGAAAAATACATTCTAATTCAGATTGTGGCCAGAAATGAGAATTATTTATCTCAGGCCTCAGAAAAGTTTTTCCATGTTACCAGACGGTCTTACCAAGCCAGTAGCTCTATAGTAGTCCCCCCTCTTCAGTTTGTCTTTGCAGTTTCAGTTACTGCATGGTTAATTGCGGTCCAGAAATATTAAATGGAAAGTTCTAGAAATAAACAATTCATAAAGTTTAAACTGTGCACTGTCCTGAGTAGTGTGATGAAATCTTGTGCCGGCCCACCCAGGACGTGAAGCATCCCTTTGTCCAGCATATCCTGCCCTTTAGTCAGTTAGTATCCATCTTGTTTGTCAGATCAGTCGTCATAGTATCTCAGTGCTTGTGCTCAGGTAACCCTTACTTTACTTAATGCCCCAAAGCGCAAGAGTAGTGATGCTAGCAATTCAGATATGCCAAAGAGAAGCCACAGAGTACTTCAGGTGAAAAGGGGAAAGTTCTTGACTCAGTGAGGCTACGAAAAAAATCATGTGCTGAGGTGCTCCGATCTATAATAACGAATCTATCCATGAAATTTTGAAGAAGGAAAAGGAAATTCGTACTAGTTTTGCTGTCATACCTCAAACTGCAGAAGTTATGGCCACAGTGCATGATAAGTGCTTAGTTGGTATGGAAAAGGCTTTAAACTTGTACTGTAAGATGTTTTGAGAGAGCCCGCATTCACGTAACTTTTATTACAGTGTATTGTTATAATTATTCTATTTTATTATTAGTTATTGTTAATCTCTTACTGTGTCTAATTTATAAATTAAACTTTATCATAGGTATGTATGTATAGTATATATAGGGTTTGGTTTCAGACATCCACTGGGGTCTTGGAATGTATCCCCACGGATAAGGGGGGGTACTACTGTGTTTGAGAGTCTTCTATGTAGGTTGGCATATATGGTTAAAAAAATCTCAAGTGTGTTTTCCAAGTATCTTCTAATTCTTTGTCTTATTGGAAAAAAACTTTGCTTGTAATTAGGATAGTTTGATGCTTTACCTGGTTATTAAACTGAATTGCTTTGGGTCAGTAATATAAAGTGAGAAAAATGATTTTTTCGCTACCACTAAGATGTTATACTTCTACATCTTAATTCACTGAAGCCAGAGTTAAGTAATGTACGGAATGTATGAAATGACTCAACGTAGCCTCTAGCACTTAGTATATACTCACAGACCTGACAGAGTCTAGTAGCTCATGTCTTATTAAAATATTTGATTATCTGTAGTTACCTGCAATCATCATTGATATTAATATCATCAATTAATCTGTCAATAGAGAAATACATCAAAATTAGAAGTGTTCTAGGAATATTCCATTGGGATGAAGGGAATTAGTCCAATCTTTTTTTTTCTTGCAGAACAGTTTTTTATTTGAGTTTGTATTGGGTAATATTCTGTCTCTCATTACGACAACTTCTGGGACTTTATTTTCCAGATAATCTCTAGGTTTTATTTTCTCCCCTAGGAATGCCCAGAAAGAGGATCGTGTTCCAGTGCTTGAGGAGTACAGGGAGTACAAGAAAATTAAAGCCAAGCTTAGGCTTCTTGAAGTTCTTATCAGCAAACAAGATTCTTCAAAATCCATATAAAATATGGTCCTTGAAAACATCATAAAATCAGTTGCATTCCCTGAAGCTATCATCATGTGTACTTGGCTGGTACTTAAGTTCATTTTGTCAGGCACTCACAGAGTCTCATTTTGTACTTGCTGGTGGTGCCACTAGAGAAATGATGGGAGGGTAAGTAGACCCTGTCTAGGGAGTGCGATGTTCCATGTTAACCACAGACTGCCCCTCTACCTTTAGCAAACATCCACTTTTCTTCATTGTTTTGTACTACAGATACATCGTCTTAGTAGAAGACTAATATTTTATCTTTTCAACTTTAAGAACTTTGGAGATAGAAGCTTTTTGTTATTCCCAACTTTATTATTTTGTTTTTCGTTACTCAAGAAAATTGAGAGGAAAATCTTCACGTTGAATTCTTCTTCAGTTGCCTTTTTCTTACAGAATGACTGAAAATTTGAAAGAAAAGCCTATAAATGTACACATATGCAACTATGTTCTGTGTTTTCTTAGAAAACCAAAATCAACTGAAATTTCAAGTCCTACTGTGGAACATATTTCTGTTAAATTCCCAAAGTGACACTTTCTCACAGGTAGTATGTTAGCAGAATTTTGCAATTCAGTGGTCACACAGCTCCTGGATGAAGATAACAGCGGGTAGGCCAAAAAGTGACCTTGCTTATTAGTATAGTGAAAACACACACCACACATCACACACAGAACTGAATTATATCACATGCTGCCTTTGGGACTTAAGTTACTGTTTGTTTCCTCAGTTACAGTTTATCAGTTGGTGTTGATGTGATTTATCTGGATTAGATCCTGCATTTTTCCCCCCTACCCACCTCCAGATAATGTGAGAAAATAGCCATGTCAGTATGTAGGAACTCTGATGGTGCTCAGATTTGTGTGTTCAATCAAATGGGCTTAAATTGGCAAAAGAATCATTATGCCTGAAGTAAATCTATTCTTAACAAGGGCTATACCACTGCATTTTTACATGTACCTTCAAGGGGTTGCATCATTTTTTTTTCTTTTTTAATCAGCAAAATCCATAAAGAAAACATCCTCTAAAGGGATCACCGTTTGCTCAATCACATGCTGTTTAAAGCAGCTGGTTATAGGTGTATTGTGGTATGCCCCTTGTCATACACTCTAAGCATATCTGTTTTTCTCTGGCTTTGCATGGCTTTTCTTCAGGTTCTTTCCTGGTATAATTCTGCTAATTATTTTCACAGAATGGTGACTTTATTTGTGCTAACAATGTGATAGTCATTAACAGCATATTCTGATCAGGCTTAATCTAAGTGTTAATTTTTTTCCTGGTGCTTTTTTGGATTGATGAGTGTCTCACTTTGTGCCCATGTTTTGCATGCAGTGACTCATGCATGGTTTTCTTAACTAGCTAATATTCATAATTTGTTCCATACAAAAATGGACTTTTGCAGCATCCTTTAATGAGGTGAGGGCAGCATGAACCTCAGACTTCTGGCACTATTACATAGCACATGAAGTAGCTTGATAATAAGTAGCATTTCTAGTACTTCACATTTCACCTGTGTGTGCAATGCCTTTTTTGGGGGGAGGGAATGTTCCTTGGTAGTGAACGTGTCATTGGGGAATAAAGCACTAAATCCAGCCCTTTTCGTGTGGTTTCCTTTTGATACAGCTAGGTTATTCATAGTGTACACCTAGAAACCTGAAATTGAGAACACCAAAAGATGTTATCACTTTGATTTGAATTCATCATGCAGTGTACATTTAGTTAATTTCTTTCAGTCTCCAACAGGAGTATATCCAAACATCTTATTTAATGTGCACTGTATATTGTTTTATATGAATGTTTTATTTTATATACCACATGCAAAAATGTCCATATGCACTATTTAAATGTTTTAAATAATATATTCCTTCTTTATAATGCTAAATCTATATGAGTACCATATTTTTATAAGTCAGTGGCCTGACTGGTTTCATTTTAGAATTAACAGCTGCTTCATGATGTTGGTTATTCACTGTTAATGTTTGGCTGTGAGTAGAATAGATAAAAAGTGGCATGGCAGCACTTATGCTATGTGACAGTATTGTGTGTCATAGTTCAGTAGTAAGTGGTAGAATTAGGCAGTTTGTGATAATCTCTTACTTTGGTACAAGTAAAAACTGTATATCTATATACAAACAATATATAGATATATATGACTACAAGTATAATTGCATTGCTGTGTTTGGCACTTCATTGTATAGACTTTTGTAATAAAAGAACTTTAATGTTCTAAGTCATTGTAAATGTTTTTTGTTTTTTTCACTAGATGTTTAAAAAGAAGAAATAAAACCCTCAAGTGTTCCCTTGCCTTAATGTTCTCAGGCTTTGTTTGAATTACCCCAACCAGGGACCATGTGGGGAGACAGCAAGGTTACTAAACCACGTGACTGTCTACAGCTCTAGGGAGTGGTAAGGCAAGGAAAGGCCATGTTGTTGATTCTCTTTGGAAGTCTAGGGAGAAGATGCAGAGAGAATAGTCAGCATTTCTTGTTGCAGTGAATTATCTTATTAAGAAAACTTGACATACAGTCTCTAAGAGAAGAGCTTGGCTTAAGGAAGGTGGGTATATTTAACAATTCCTTTATTTGAGTTTTACAGTCCAGGGACTGTTGAGCACAGTGTGGAAGTCTATGGTCAAATGATGTTACTTGGGCTAAGAGAACATATAACATATGGCTCTTCTAGGAGGGCTTATGTAACTTATATTAGAAGAGTTTCCTTCCAATTTCCAAAATGCCAGCCATCCAAAACTTGCCAACCATCCATACAGGGCTTTTGCAACACCCTCATTTACACTTTTCAAACATAACTTCTTATAACCTTGATACTCCTACCTGGCTCTTTTATTTTATGTTTTAAAGGGTAGTTTACTTTTAAAGTAGTCGAGGAAGCACTTTTGGGAAACTTCACATGTGTTACTTTAGAAACTGTCTAGATGAATTTCTAGTTTGAAGATATTAGTGAAATTTCTGTAGGTGGTTGGGAAGTTTGTTCTTCTACACTTTGCCTTTTTCCAGGAGACTTCCAACTGGGAAGAATGGAGGTGAGATTATTTTACTTGGGGTCTTATATAATGTTTTTCTAGAATCCTAAGCATTTATTAATTTACCTTTGGCTAGAGAAATTAGAACATGGCACATGATGAGAATACCAACAGTTCTAATACTCTGTGTAACATTGAGAAAACTATCTTTACTGACTTATTGAACTATTAATTAGAGACCTGCCCTAAGAACTAAAAGCAATATTATTTTATACTTTCCGTTCACATTCCTAGAATTTAATAATAAATCTCATTATAAAAGTCTTCATGTGTACCTGTGTGTGTATACTGTGGAGGCATGTTGTAATACACATGGATTATATATTGGGTCCCATTCCTAGAAATCATTTGATGATTATCATTGACCCTGACGATAGTTTGATGGTAGCTAGTTTTGTGCTTTTAAAATGTACCGCAAATGGGGACAAATTTAGGAAATAATTCAGTACAGGAATAAATCGTTAGAAATGTTCCATGATTATATCACAGATTCTCACCTCCACTTGCCTCAATATTGTAGAGCTGAAACCTTTCTCGTCACTCGGTTTAGTTTTAAACTGACATAGTGTAATTCTTTCTCCAGTTCCACAGCATATAAAAAGAGGCTAGAGGATAATTTAGAAGGAAGTGGAGAATGAGTCAGTAACATTTTTGTACATAAAGAGACAGCAGGTTATTAACACCTATTGTGAAATGCTTTGAGTGGGAAGATAGTATTTTAAGCTCCCAAAACATGCCTAGTATGGCCAGTTATGGATCTAATATTCTAAAGCTGTGTGGAGCATAGTATCTGCTACATGTGTCAAGTATAAATGGCAGTTCCTATATTTAGAGATGTAAGGACAAAAGCAGTTGGTCTTGGTCTCAGCTTACATTTAAACAAATGGAGTTTTGTGCTTTCTGTGTCATTTTAAAGTTGGGTAAAAAATTGGGGAAAAAAGTGGCATCTTAACAGAATGAGATTCTGGGTTCAGGAAATTTGTGGAATGTCCCCAGTCCCCATATCACAATATCCCATAGTACCTTGGTTAGAACAAATGCTTACTCTCGAAATTCTTGTTGCGTGACAGGCTGGTAGTCATCTTGAATTTCTGTAGAATAATACTTTTTCTCAAGCCTCTCTTTCCATTTTTTCATCTGCTCTGCACTTTGAATCTCCTGTAAAGTTAGAGGAAAAAGCATAAGCTGCAATCTTTAAATTTTTCTCTGTTGCAGGCCCATGGCACACAAGCATCACAGGGTTGAGAATCTTAAACTTTACTCTCCGGGGCTGTGATTTTGAGCCGCACTGGCTTTTTGCCCTGCCTGATTTTTGGGTCTATGCATTAGCAGAGTCACCTCAGAGAACTTGGTGTTAAAACTGTTTAGCAGAGTTAGGGGATTTTTAAATTGTGAATATCGTCTTATTCCCTTTTCACTGCCTCTTCCCCTCTGTATCTCCAGCTGATATTCTCCATTCTTCACTTGGCCAAAGCTGGGATGTTCTTTTCTGTACCTCTGTTCTATAATGAAGCAAGTGTACATCAAAGTACGTTTGTGGGTATTATTTGCCCTCCCAGCTGCTTCTCAGCCAGACTCCTAACAATTCCCAATCTCCTCTTCATAATTACTGCATCAATCTGTGTACTCCAATCTGTCCACACACCCCAGAATAAGCTCCTCATACCAGAAGATTCTTGCTGTATCCTTCTCTGATCCTAAAGAGCCCTTTCTGTGCTTTGTGCTCACTACCCACCCATTTTCCTTGTAGTGTCCAAATACCTTTTTCCCAACTTCAGAAAAAGTGTTATGGAAAATAGAAACAGCCCTAGAAAAAGAGGGAAAAGAAGAGACAGTGCACCCAGATACGATGCAAAGACTTCAGTAAATCGGTATACTATTGCCCTGCTCCAACAGTAATGTTAAGTAGCAAAGTGGATCCCTGTGTAAGGGTTCTGATTACCTTCCTCAGAGAGAATGGTGATGCCCAAGTTCATACATTGTTTACCTGATAAATGGATGCTGTTCTGGCCAGAGGAGCTGTGCTATATATCAGAAAGTGTTTGTCTTTAAACCAACATATCCGAAGTAGGAAAGGGTGGTTTTCAATCTTTCTAGTTTTATTTCAGCCACATTACAGCACCTATGTTTTGACATATTTACCAGTACTTTTAATGTGATGTTAAAAAAGTGGTGGGCCCCACAAATATTTCAAAATGACCAGGTCTATTAAAATGTGGATGCATTAGTAATATGCACTGAATAGACTGCCTGGTAAACGATGCATCCTTCAAAAAACCTATCTCAACCATTGCTTTTTCTATGAAGCCTTCCTTGACATTCACAGGAAAGTAATACCTTTCCTCATAGAGCAGCAACTATGTGGGGGCATTTGCTCAAGCTCCTAGGTTCTAGTCAACCCACTTCTTCCCTGCAGGTGGTAGCTGCTGCTTATAATTGTTTCTGTATTAATTCAGTGTTCTGCAGTGGTTCTTACAGACCTCTCATGCCTCAGAAATGAATTCTGTGAAGTAAACCCCCTCTTTTTGAGCTACCTCATGTGTTTCTGTTTTTCTGACTGGCCCCTAACTGATGACTGGTTGGTAGCAGAGAAGGTCCAAAGAAACAGACCCTTATAGACAGCGTGCCCCCACCAAGGGACACAACAATTGACTTAAGAGTTTGAGACCACCGCCTGGCTATTTGGGATTCCTCAGGCTACCGAACCAGCAGGCTAAGAAGTGATTGAGGTGACTGATCCCAATTACCAAGGGGAAATTGGTGCTGCTACAAAATGGGTTCAGAAAGGGCTGTGTTTGGAACCCAGGGAATTCTCTGAGGGGTGCCTCTTAGTACTTCCATGTCTAAAACTCTGTAGTTTAAACATTAAATTCTTAAGGAATTGTGATTCGAGTAGAAAAGGTCTTAACGTCACCCAGAGATGGATACAATTACTCTTGGGACTTTGCTTCTCCCCTTTTGGGGAGAGAATAAGAGGGCCTCCATTTTCATAGAGGATAGTTCTGTCTTATTAGATGGAAGCTAGAAATAGTTATTGTCATTTTATGGGAGTACAGATGTGTACTAAATAGCCAAAGGGGGTGAATTCGGCTGACCATTTAGCTAATATCGCTCAACTCAAAATTTGCTCTCCTAAACTCTTATGCTCTCTTATGCTCTTTATGCTGGATCTCAGGCTTTGCAAACCTCATTCCCTAGACTGTCTTGCTACCAGATTTGTTAGGTTCTGCCTTACTGGACGATGGAGGGGGAGAAAGTTTTTCTTGTTTTCTTTCTATCAGCATTGCTTCCGCGAATAGTAGTTGGCTCCAGGCTGCAGTTGTCCAGCTTCTTTTGGCATACCCAGCACCAGCTTCATCATACTCCCTCAGAAGTATCAGGAGCAGCAGGGGTGGGATGAGGGTGACCTCAGAGGTCTGAGCAACAGCTTCAGGCCCCTTAATTGTCTTAGGTTCCAATAAACCCACCTTTTGTAACCTTAGTCATGGGAGTGGTAGCCTCCTCCTACAGTTATTACTTATGAGTTACTTCAGTGTTTTTACTTTTTCTATTTTCCAATACCTGTGTAACCAATTCCCTGTAATAAATTTTCTCTGTTTGAAATGTATAGTATGGTTTCTATTTTCCTGACTAGGTCCTCATACATGTAATAAGTATGTCATTTGGTCAGGTGTATTTTTGCCTTTAAAGAATGTTTAAAATTTTTCCATATCTTGGTTTTAAACATTTTAAAATTAGTCCCTGGGCATTTGCTATTGTAGTTTCTTCTATTATAATTTTTAATGAGCTGGTTGATGTTTGCATATATGACATGACTATGTAAATTATTTTTTCCTACTACTTAATCTGTTTTTGTCATAATTTTTCAGTTCATTGTATACCTGAGAAAGAGAATCATATCTCAAACAGAGGTAGTTTTTACCTCTTCCTTTTCTACTTTTGTACTTCTCATGTATTTCTCTTGCTTAATTATTTTTTTTTTTTTTGCGGTACGCGGGCCTCTCACTGTTGTGGCCTCTCCCGTTGCGGAGCACAGGCTCTGGACGCACAGGCTCAGCGGCCATGGTTCACAGGCCCAGCCACTCTGCGGCATGTAGGATCTTCCCAGACCGGGGCACGAACCTGTGTACCCTGCATCAGCAGGCGGACTCTCAACCACTGTGCCACCAGGGAAGCCCTCTTGCTTAATTCTTTTGTCTGATCCCTCCAATACATCCTTGTCTTGTCCTTGATATGTCCAATGTTTCCCTATTAGATAAGGTGCTAGCTTTGGGGTGAGGTAAATTTGTTTTTATCATGTCAAGGAGGAGTCCATTGATTCCTGTTTTGTTTTCCCCCTCAAAGTTGGATGTTGAATCTTATCAAATACCCAGCATCTATGGAAAATAGTAGTTTTCCTTTTTTTGATCTATAAATAGAACGGATTATGGTAATTAGTTGATTATACAGTTTTGAATCATCTTCCCATTCTTTGAATAAGCCCTATCTGAATCATGGTATTGTGTTCTGTTGGATTCTGTTTGCTAATATTTTATTTAGGATTTTTGCTTCAAGATTTATGTGATATTTTGTTTTTTAAAATTAATTAATTAATTAATTTTTGGCTGCATTGGGTCTTTATTGCTGCACGTGGGCTTTCTCTAGTTGCAGTGAGCGGGGACTACTCTTTGTTGTGGTGCGCGGGCTTCTCATTGTGGTGGCTTCTCTTGTTGCGGAGCACATGCTTCAGGCACGCTGGCTTCAGTAGTTGTGGCACACGGGCTTAGTTGTTCCGCAGCATGTGGGATCTTCCCGGACCACGGATTGAACCCGTGTCCCTTCCATTGGCAGGCGGATTCTTAACCACTGCGCCACCAGGAAAGTCCCTATAAGTGATATTTTCTTTTTCTGTTTTTGTTTTTATTGAGGAGGATACAATCTTTACTAGGTTTTAGAATCACTATATAGTGATTCTAAAATTATTTTATAAAAATAATTTGGAAATTTTCAATTTTCTCTTTGCTCTGGAACAGCTCAAATAGCTTGAAATTATTTATTCCTTAAAAATCTGGTAAAATTTCCATATGAAACCATCTGGGCCTGATTTATTTCAGAGGTAGCTCTTTGATGACTTCATTTCTTCTACAGAATGGATTTGTTTAAGCTTTTAAAAATCTCTTTTGGGCTCAGTTTTGATAAATTTTATTTTCAATTTACTGAGGTTTTCTTTATGGCCCAATATACCTATTTTCATGAAGGGGTTTTTTAAGTAAATTAAGCTTATTTGTCTTTACTGATATGTCAGATATATCTGGTCACAGTTATATTGTTTTAAGGTATATTTACAGTCTTTTACCATGTGGCATATTATCAGTTTTCTTTTTTGATTTGGTACTGCTTCCCTTTAAGAATGTCTGTATTTTTGTTTTAGTGGTCTGTTTTTATTCATGTATCTTTTTATACATCCTCCGTCATCTCTTTCTCGTTTTGGTTCCCTCAACAAGAACCAAACAAGTTCAACAAAAAAATTAGGTTATAATTTCTTCCTCCTCATTTCTTTTCCCTCTACTACCCAAGTATATTTAATCATATTACTGTATTTTGTTTTATCTGAGAGATGGAGTCTATTGTAAGACCATTACACCATTATTTTATGTACCACTTAGGAAAAAAAATGCCACCAGTTAAAATATGGCACATTGTCAAATATAAGGCACATCTTGATTTCAGAGATATTAAAATGTGGAAAAATGTGTTTTTAAATTAATAAAACCATATCTTTTTAATTTACTACTGTGCTCTTAAATATGCTAAAGTTTCTTCTTTTTGGCTATTATCTCTAAATGATAATTCTTCAACTTTTTACCTATTACATATGAAATAATCAGTCAGCTTTTTTTACTTTATACCTTCTCTCTTCCTTCTTTTTTCTAAAATTTCTCAGTCATCTCTTGTTTGGCTGATGATGATCTTCACATGGAATCCTTAGGAATACAGTGGTATTCCCCAAGTTCATACATGTTCAAAACTGTTAGAGACTTTATACTTGAAACACAGCTTTGCTGCATATAAAAAAGCCTTGGCTTACATTTTCTTTCCTTGCTATATTGTAAGTGTTGTTCTGTTGATTTACGGTGTTGAATGGTGTTACGCTAACCTAATTCTCTTTTCCTTGTAAGTAAATCCAAATTTTGCTTGGATAAGTCTCATGTTCATTTTAGATAATTTTTCCCAGGTACATAGTATGTCTTTCAATATACATTGTCTTTTATTTCAGAAATGGTTTATTGAATTATAGTTTTGTTTTTTAAAAGAATCTCAAACTTACAGAAAAGTTATAAGAACAATACAAATAGTTTTTATCCTCTGAAGTATTTCAAGTTGCCAACATGAATGCCTTATTGTCCCTGAATACTTCAGTGTGTATTTCCTGCATACAAGGACATTCTCCTTTATATAAGCACAGTATAATCATCAGAATCAGAAAATTAATATTGATAGATTATTACCATCTAAATCCTCAGTCCCCCATTCAAATTTACCAGTGTCCCAATGATGCCCTTTATTGTAAAAAGATCCAGTCCATGATTATGCATTGTATTTACCCATCTTTTAATCTCAGTCTGGTGTAGTTCCTCAGCTTTACCTTGACTTTCATGACCTGGAAACTTCTGAAGTCTATAGGCCAGTATTTCATAGAATGTCTCTCAGTTTCTTATTGTGTGATGGTTCGTTGCGTTATGCATCTTCGGCAGAAATTTTACAGAAGGGATCCTGTGTTCTCTTAGTGTCCTGTCAGGTGGCATATAATTTCAACTTGTTCCAGTACTGATTAAGGTTCTGTTTTCCAGACTTTTTCACTGTAATGTTATTCTTTTTGTAATTAGTATTTCGTGGAGAGGTATGGAAATGTTCTATTCTTCCTCAGACTTTTATTCATGTATATGTTTAGATCGGTGTGGACTCCTGGAATCCTATTTTATTCCATGGGTTTAAATTAATATTCATTAAGTGCCTAAATAAGTGCTTAAAATCCCACACTTGGCCAGCGGGATCCCCACTCAAGCTGACTTTTGTGTCCTTTTAACAGATCTCCATCATTCTATATGGAGTACAGTATGAAGCACCTATACTTTCCAGTCCTGGAATTAACTGTATTTCCAAGGAGCCCTGGTTCCTTTTAGAGGAGAATGGTATTTGGAAACCAAGATCTGGATGCTCGTTGTGTCATTGCTACTAGGATGTCACTCTCAGTGGACAGAGTTAGAAGATACATTCGCACGCACGTGCGCACACACACAGTTGCAATTCTAATCCAACACCACAAGGTTCATTTTAACCTTCAGCCTTTCCATTTTTGCAATTCCATTGTCTGATAATGAGAAACCTCACTCCATTATACATACTTGTTTGCTTATTCCAATCTCTTGACCCTGCTGTCCTCTTTCTCAATATATTGGGGGGTGGGAGGCATCCAGAAGTAGAGCAATGTTCTATTTTTTCACTTGGGTGGTAGTGGTATGTGGAGGTTTGCTTCATAATTATTTATTAAACATATATGTTTAGTCATTTGAATGTATGTTACAGTTTTGAAATATAAGAAAAATCATTTAAGTGATTCATCACATTAATGATTGCAAGAGAACAATTATATAATCATCTCAATAGAGTATACTCACTAAGCCCTGTGTGCTAATCCCACAGTGAAGGTACAGCTGTAGGACAAGGGTATCTGGCTAAGAGCACCAGTAAGAGAGATGGAGCATCTGGAATCCAAACAATTTGTCCTAAATAAGAGAGGATCTAGATACCGGGAGAAATTTGGAGGTGGCAACTACTGCTCTGAAAAAAGCAAATCATTCAGTTCTTAAATCAGAACTTTTTCTAATAAAGCTATCACTTCTTTACGAGAAAATTAAAATCTTACTTTTTCATCAAAGCCTTCTCTTCTGGCTTGTTCAACCAAATCTCTGCTTTTCCTACTGTGAATGTAAAATAAAAATCAGAAGTATATGACAGTAAAAAGGAAAATGACAGTATAAAATATAACCAGATCTGTATTAAGGATCTGAATTAACTTCTATTCTTTCTGATAACACTAATTATTTGGAAAATGTTGTCATTAATAGGTTCTCTATATCATATCTCTAGCTATAAAAACATGTTTCTATTATGTCCCACTGCCAGATTTTGACACTAAAATTTGCAATAAATGTAAATACATTCTTAAATATTTTGTTTAAAAATTTTTTTACTTTGATAGCTGAAAGCATGCACTTAATGTAGACTAAAATCATTTCCTACTTTTTTAGAGGGACTTTACTATCCTGTGCAGCTTTCTGTTAAACCTTTTTCTGAGTGGCATGGCATGCCTTATATTAATTTTAAATTAGCTTAGAGTTTCATGACACTCTCAGAAATTATGAGGTGCTACTGGATGTTTTGACAGTTTATTTAGAATCAGCACATTGAATGGTGGTTGTTTTGCAGTCAAAACCTTACTCTCACTGTAAGTTTCTAATATAATACAGAGCTTTAAAATGGTAAGTTAAAAATTGAAGAAAATTCATCTTACCTTTTCTTGTCTTCATCTGTTTCAGGTTTCTTTAGTTTGAGTTTTTCGAGAGCATTGTGGTAACTCTGAGCATAATTTAAAAGATTAAAAGTTCATAAAAATAATATTCTGTATTAATTTTTGATCAAGGTAAAGGAAATAGGGAATGCTTGACTTTAGGAACTGCTGCCCTAAAGAAATGTAGAGGCAAATACTATGATTATCTTTTTTCACCTTGTCACTACTTATGGTTTCTGCCTGCTGGTGGAAAAGCTGGAGAGCATCACACTTGAACTTGGAAAAAAAATCTTTAAAAAACATTATTAACATTTATTGCATTAATGATATTAACATTTTAATGCACATAACCAACATCATAATCAAGAGATAAAAGATGAAAAAACCCACAGTTAAGTTCATTGGGGGACATATTAATAGTTTACTTTTACAGATAAGTTCTTGGACAGAGTTCTTAAGCCCCACTAACCCCACAGCTTATAGGACCTTTTCTGTGTGAAATGCTATGCTTAGAGCTGTGGGTATGCAGAAATGGGCAAGATGGTACACACATGACTCTGCTACAGTTCACAGTGAGGTTGGTATTGAGAGGACAAGGAAGATTGCTCTGACAGGGAGAACAGAATGTCAGTGAAGAGAGCAGAGGGAATATTCCTGGTGAGTCAGGGAATGACATGAGCAGAGGCCCAGAGGAGACAATGAGAGCAAGCATGGTAAACAGCACTGTGCTCAAAACAGCTGGGGCATACAGTGCTGTAAATGGAGGTAAAAATTGTATAGTTAGTTCAGTGATAGTGAATAAAGATAGGTTGAGACTGTGAGACTAGAAAAGGCCCTTGAATGTTTGAATAAAGAATTTGGACTTATTTTGACAAGCCCTGGGAAACTGAAGAATTTTGAGCAGAGAAGTGATATGATCAAAACTGGGCTGGCACAGGAAGGAGGCTAGAACAGTTAAGAAGATGTTACCATACAGAAGTCGGGGTGAAAAGTACTGAGTACCTAATATAGTGGTGGCAGTTAGAATTCAAAGTGTCTTTGAGTTCCACAAATGTGAGCAAAAACTACAGAGGTGAACTTTACACACAAGCCTTGGCAACAGACCATTATAAGGGACAAAGAAAAAGTTCAAGGGTTTTGAGCCAGGGGTGACTGAGGAGAGTGTTACCACTACAGAAAGTGAGGAAGGTAAGGCAAAAGGAGTTCTGAGTTCAGATTGTTCATAGGAATTTACCAGCATCTAAATTGAAAACTTTGGGAGGGAAGAGAGTAAGTGCTTTGCATTTAGTGCTCAGTAGCTTTTTGATACATTGAATTCTGAAATAATTTTGGTCACATTTTTGAAGCCAGAGAACATTTCTCCTGGTACTGAAATAATACAAGTATAAGTAACCATGGACCAAAACAAAAAACCCCAAATGTCCTCCCTGCACTACCACTTGGGGTTTAGGTGTTATTCAAACTACAAGAGTATAAACTGAACAAGATTGGTCTTAGAATTCTGATTAGAAGAATTTGACATACCTTTTTAATCATTTTACCAAGTTCAAAATCTGGCCTTCTGCCTATTGAATAGTCAGCTTTCACTTCAGAATAGGTATTATAAATTATTGCCAAGAACATGTTCTGGGGAGAAATATTCAAATGAAGTATTTCAATAAAAATTTAGTTTAAATGCTGTTAATGACTTTGACAAGTGCTGGGATTTGTAAAATTAGATTTAAATTTTAAAAGTAACTCATGCTCAATAAGAGATGGCTATGCAGACTATATATAATATAGTAGAATGGGAAATGTGTAGTGCATGGATATGGGCAAGTATGTTTATGGCAAATGGGAAAAGCAGAATGTAAAATAGTGCATATACATTGGTTAATTATATATATATATAAATTTATTAATGTTACATATCAGAAGAAAACTTAGAATAATATATGTTCATAAGGGTATTTCTTTTTTTCTTTAAAATTCTATAGAGCTGTTTAAATGCACAATTTTACTATGGCTCTTACAACTATTAATGTCCAGATAACAAACAGAACTGTGGAGAGGGTATTCTTACTCCCAGCCCACCTCTCCACCTTTCACTGTGGCTCAGATCTGTCACTGTGAGGACTGTTGCCCACAATCAGGGGATAACTGCTGTGTGTGACAAAAAAATGTTTTCATGGAGGACAGTAGCAGTGCCTTGAGTAGAAAGGCAAGGTTCCTTGATTAGGAAGGCCAAATAGATTTGTCCTGAGCACATGTGAGAGACCCATCCTGGGGACTCCTAAAAATTACAAGGGTGTAAGCTTTCATCCCTAAGGGCCAAAAGCTGTTGCAATATGGGCAGAATATGAATGGCCTAATTCATACCTACTGGTATGAAATGTCCCAGGCTGGAGAGACCTGGAACTTTTAAGTTATATGTGTAAAAGATTTAGTACACTCTTGGCACACAGTAGCCACCCAGATGGTAACTATTGTGATCACATTCTCCATTGGACAGCTTGAAAACATTTGGACCCCCTGGATTACTAGGAATCTACACTATTCTTAATAAATGTAAAGTGTTCTGACAGCTAAGCAATGATACTATAATTTCTTCTAAATTGGTAATTATATTTTTTATTCTGAAAAATGTAAGCAAAAAAGGGGAACCTATATGGTCATTCTTACCAGCAGGACAAAGAACACGAAAAAGATGAAAGTGATGAAGTAAATGGGTCCCAAGATACGACTGGCTTGCTGAATACCAGCAAAATTAAAATCTCCAAGAACAATACGAAATTGTGTGAATCTTTTATGGGAAAAAAGAAAAACATTAGAAAATACTATATCTCTTCATACATACATGACAACAGATGGGGGTTACTAATGTGCCTAGGAAAGTACCTAGCTGCATATGGCATATGTTCTCTGGCTTTAGTTTTGTTAGCACAGAGTTCTATAAAATTGGATGTAGAACATTCCCCTAAAGAAAGGCAAGACTTAATAGCTGAACAGATAGTTCAGGAAATGATGGGCTTCAATTTATTCAACCAATATGAACCCAATGTTCACCTCCAAGATTTGAACCTTGAGATGCCTGCTTACCAGCTTGTCTTGACAGTGGCCTCCTCAGCCATTCCTGTGTCTTTATAAAACTTAGAATACTTTGACCTTTTCTAATAAATGATTTTCAACTTGTACATAGACCCAAGAGCCCTACAATTTCTAATATCAATGGTATGCTTAATTTTTGCATCTCTTCTGCTGAAATAAAAATGGCAACAATTTGTCACTTGCTAAGTCTCAAACAAGTGCTGGTAGTGATCCTCAAACATGATCCTGAGGTTTATTTTATTTTCTCCAATAAGTATAAAAGCTTGGCTTTGAAGTGAAATAGCATTGAAAATACTATATATCTTCATTTTATTAACTTTAAAGATGGAAAAATTAAGAAATTAAGGCTTTGAATGAGCATAGTAGTAGCAGAGGTAGAATTAGGATTTCATAATGTGAAGTCTTATTTTGTTTTCTCATCATTAGTTTGCAATGGTATTGCCATACACACCACGGATATGTTATAAATTATATATGATATATATATATATATGAGTTCTTTATTTTAAGGGGAGATCTGGGAAGGAGTTTTTAATAGTATGTAGACACTTTGCATGATTGGTCAAAGGGCATAATGTTTCTTGTTCCTTGTTGCTTTTGCCAATTACATGAAGGGAACATAGGACTATGTACAATGAAGGAAGAAAATGTATTCAAAGAAATCAGCTATTTGGAGCCCTAGGACTCAGAGTTTTCTGGAATTTCATCCTCAGTACCTGAGACCTGACTAAATCATACATACAGTATTTATCCAGCTTCTAATACTGGATTCTAATGCTCTTCTACACAAGATAGAAGAAATGCTGAATTAGGAGACCAGAGTTTCTCAGCAAATCAAAAAAATTTTTTTTCCTCTCTGGCATGGGAGAATATGAGGTTCTGTTTTAGAGTTTTTAACTTAATTTTTTATCCTTAAGTTGTGTTTATATAAGTTCAAGTCAGCATTTCTCCTCTCCAGAAAGTGTCCACATACCTCTGCTCTGTAAAAAGTGTGAATAACAAAAACCTAAGCAATTACTGAATGGTTATAATCACACAGGAACTGGAGACTTACAAATGCCTTTCCCCTCCCCCTCCCCAAGCTAAAAGGAACACCATGACTCTTCAGGATACAGATTATACTGAATGAAAACACAGTTTTTTAACTTCTTGATACCCCTGTTAACTTTCTACAGTTCTCTCTTGTTGAATTAAAATAGCTTACAGACTGTTTCATAATAATGTACCATTTATGGTTAATCTGACTTCCCAGTCTCACACTTGCAGGCATGACTGGGTGGTAGGTATTCCTAAGCCTTCTCCAAATATTGCCTCTATTCCACTGTGTCGTCTTCTGTAATTCAGGTTAAACATATATTAGGCCTTCTCATTCTACCCTTTCTGTCATTTTCTGAACATTTTGCCTCTCTATGCCACTTTAAAATTTTTTCTCACCTATTTTTCATTTTACTCATTCTCTCTTCATCTATTCCTCATTTGCTATCAAACCTGTCAACTGGGCTTTTAATCTCAGTTGCTTTAATTTTCAGTTCTAGAATTCTGTTTGATACTTTTTCAAGTATGTCACTTTTTACACTATACTGTTCTCTCTCTAAAGATATTTTCTGACTTGCGTTTTATTTCTCTAAATATAGTATTTATTGATTATTCCAATATTTGAAGTCTTTGAGCCTGTTTCTGTTGTCTGTTGTATCTGCTGGCTCTTGCTTATGAATTTTTCCTCCTTATGTACCAAGTTATCTTTGACCATGAGCAGTAAATTATACTTGAAGGGCTTAGGATGAAATATATTTCTCCAGAGAGGTATTTTTGTGTGTGTGTCTGCAGGTGCATATGGGCATTCCAGCCTGGGACCACCTTAATCCAAATTCAAGACATGAGGTTCCCTGGATACCTAGGTGACTAAACCCAGACTTCAAGTCAAGTCAATCACTGAGGGATTTACTTTTAACTTGAGGCTGTAGCACTTCAGGCTCCCTGCTTTATATGTGGAGAGGTTATCAGACACTCCTCCTCTCCCCCAACCCCACTCCCCAGCACACACACACAGGCATGGGGTTTGTCTTGTCTTGTCCTTGAGAGGTAACTAGAAACACAATTTCTCAACTGTTTCTTCTTTTGTTTCAACAAAAATGCCTTCATGGTGGAGGTTTTGGGGAAGATGGAGTAAGAAGCACTAGGAATCTCTCTCACCACCTAGACAACGATCACAGTGGCACAATCTTTCTGATGAAACTATTTTAGAACTCTGGAGTCTGTTGAAGGCTTACAACTTCCAGGAAAGGATTGAGCAGTTTGGGTCAATTTAAACTTTTAGTTTGGCAGCAGCTACCCATCTCCTACCCCCCAGCCCATGGCAGGTAGCCCTGCATGTATTTCTAGAGCAGCTTGTACACAGCTTGTGGGAGCCAGCGTGGACAAGAAGGACCCTGTTGTCCAAACATCAGGGTCTGTGTTCTGATTGCTGATTGCTGCTTCTGATCACAGAGGCAGGCATCTCCCTGCATTGTTGCAAGCCCCTCCCTCTCTGGCTGAAGCAATGTCCTTGGGATTGAGAGGCCCAATGCCCTTCCCTCCTTCATTTTTCTCTTTTTCGCCTTTGGGAGCCAGATATTAAAGACTAGGACATTCATGGGGCTTCCCTGGTGGCGTAGTGGTTAAGAATCCGCCTGCCAATGCAGGGGACACGGGTTTGTGCCCTGGTCCAGGAAGATCCCACATGCCGCGGAGCAACTAAGCCCGTGCACCACAACTACTGAGCCTGCACTCTGGAGCCTGCAAGCCACAACTACTGAAGCCTGCATGCCTAGAGCCCATACTCCACAACAAGAGAAGCCACCACAATGAGAAGCCCACTCACCGCAACTAGAGAGTAGTTGCGAAGAGTAGCCCCCACTCACTGCAACTAGAGAGAGCCCACGCACAGGAACAAAGAACCAACAAAAAAAAAAAAAAAAAAAAAAAAAAAGACTAGGACATTAAAAAAAAAACAACAACTGCATATATGGAGGAAATTAGACAGTCACCATGCATGCCCAAGGAATGGCACAGGCTCAGAAAAGACCTGAGAAAACCTTAAGTTTACACCTCAGGCTGATCCTCAAAGAACTGAAAGGAGACATGGAATAAGTCAAGAAAACTATGTATGAACAAAATGGAAAAGATAGAAAACCTAAAAAGAAACCAAAAAATTCTAGAGCTGCAAAGTACAATAACTGAAATAAAAATTCATTAGAGAGATTCAAAGGTAGATTTGAATAGGCGGAAGAAAAAAATCAGTGAACTTGAAAATAGGGCAATTTATTGAGTCTGAAGAACAGAAAGAAAAAAGTTTCAAGAAAAGTGAACAGAGCCTAAGGGACCTGTGGGATACCATCAAGTGAACCAACATATGCATAAGCACATGAAAAGATGCTCAAGATTGCTAATCAGTAGGGAGATTCAAATCAAAAACACAATGAGATATCACCTCACATCCATTAGGATGGCTACTATCAAAAAAAAAAAACAGAAAATAACAATTTTTGACACGGATGTGGAGAAATTGAAACACGCACCGTTAGTGGAAAGGTAAAATGGAATAGCCACTGTGGAAAACAGTATAGCAGTTCCTCAAAATTCAAAATACAATTACCATATGATCCAGCAATTCTACTTCTGGGTATGTACCCAAAAGAATTCAAAGTAGGATCTCAAAGAGATATTTGTACACCATGTTCTCATAGCATTATTCATAATAGCTAAAACGTGGAAGCAACCCAAGTGTCATTAACAGATTAATGGATAAACATAATGTGGTATATACATACAATGGAATATTATTCAGCTTCAAAAAGGAAATTCTGACATATCCTACAACATTGTTGAATCTTGAAGACATTATGCTAAGTGGAATAAATCAGTCACAAAAGGACAAATACTGTATGATTCCACTATGTACCTTGAGTAATCAAAATCATAGAGACAAAAAGTGGAATGATGGTTGCCAGGGGCAGGGGTAGGGAGGGAAATGGAGAGTTCCTGTTTAATGAGTATAGAGTTTCAGTTTTGCAAGATAAAAAGATTTCTGGAGATGAATGATGGTGATGATTGAACAATATGAATGTATTTCACTGTACAGTTAGAAATGGTTTAAAAAAAAGACATGGTTAAGATGGTAAATCTTATGTTATGTTATACACAATTTAAAATTTTTATCAGTTTAAAAAAAAGCCTTCAGGGCGGAAGTAGCTTTGGATGCTGAGTTTACTTTTCTGGGTTCTTGCTTTCTGATTTTGGCCACTCACTTTTTTGTTAGTTCTTAAATGTTTCCTATATTTCATCCAGCTTTTTAAATTGTGAAGAGGTTGATTTAAATAACCTAGCACATCATTACCAAAAGCAGAAGCCCCCTCATTAATCCATTTCAAAATTTTCTATCTGTTTACTTTGTGCCTTATACTTTCCTACCATTATCCAAGGTAACACAAATTTCCAAGGTTCTGTAAATTACTACATTTATATTTAATGTCCAATACTACTTAGTTTTATTATTAACACTTGAATTAAGATCCTAGGAAAGGACCAAGAAGTTGTTGGAACTGCAAACATTATTCACTCTGGCTAAGGTAATTAGACTTCTCAAATTATAGGTCATTTGAAGTTGGAAAGGACCTTTGGGAGTGATTTAGTCCAGCCCCTTCATTCACAGATAAAGAAATTAAGGTCTAGAAAAGTTAAATAGCTAGTGGCAGAATTGGAAAGTAGAATTATATCCTCTTGGTTGCTAGTCCTCTCTTTCCACTACTGATTTAGTAAAGGGTTATTCACAAAAATATTATTAAATTTCATGCAATTAATTGGTACTTAGATAATACAGTATTTACATGTGGATGATGAAAAGAGGGCAATCTAAGAAATTTTTCAGACCAGAATTTACCCCAAATTGAGTAAAAGGGCCATGGACAAGTTTGAGGAATTCTTAACTAAAGGGAAAGTTATTGCAGTTTTTCTCAGAGCCATATGTTACCATGCACTACGAATTTCCAAGAGTGATGCAAAATGAAGCCATTTCCCCCAGACAGTCTTTCTTGGTCTAGGTTGCACAGAACACATTTTGAGAACTGATATTTTAGACTATCATAATTTTTTTTACACAGACAGAACTTGTTTTACCTACTCAAAAACGAAAGTAAATTTATTACAATTTTTCACTTTTAAAGACAATATTTTTCTAGGGATTTTACCTCATCAGTTCTATAAGTTAGTTATCTGCTGATTGTTTTATGTGGATAAAGCAATTTTTAAAATTCAGCTTTGCCAGATCAGCAAAGGATAATCAGGTCAATATCAATAAAAGAATTCTAAAGATAGAGCCCTCTAAAGAAAACACTTAAGATTTCTTTTGCCCAGAGAATAAATACTACAGAGACATGGAGCCAGTTTCTTTTATCTTAGGTCAAATTTTCACTTCTATTGAAAAGTAAAAAAATATTTTTCTAGCTTGACCTGGTAACACTTGAAAAGTGGGTAACACCATCCATTTGGATCTTTCAATGCCTAACTGGACTTTGAGTGTGACAGATATTTAGCCATCAGTGAAAATATCAAACCATTTTTTAATTTATTAAAGCTTATGTCACTACTTATAGGCCTTTTCATGATTTTTTTGTTATAAACTGGATAAAACTGCATAAATTACATTTATGCTAAGAGCTTACATGGAATTTTGAAAAGTGGAAAAGTCGTCAACTTGTGATCCAAAAACAAGAAATCCTAACTGAGCGTAAGCAAAGAATATTATAAAAAACATGATGGCAAATCCTACTATGTCTTTGATACAGCGAGACAAGGTTGATGACAGCTGAGACATTGTCTTATTAAAGCTTATGAATTTGAATATCTGAAAAAGAACAAAGTTAATTGAAATAGGAGAATATTAAAGATTATAATGATTAGAGTAAATTAATTTCAGAAGAAATCTGCTTGAAATTAAAAGAGATGCTTCATGACAGTCGGGGTGTTTGAGGATTCGCTGGCAATCATTACAAAGCCAAACTACTTTAAAAATTACTGTATAAAGAAATTACTGTATAGTTAAGAATATCCTTTTGTTTTTTCATAACTTTGTAGTTTAAGTTCCCATTTTATTATCTAATATAATAAAATATATCTAATCTGTTATATCTGATAAAATATAAATACCTTTATCCATGCAAAGAAGATGGTTATGGCAATTATATTGTTGTAATAAATGTGCCAGTATGCAAGAAAATAGAAGTCTGAATATTTTTCAGTACTTTTTAACAGTTGTCCAAGCAAGAGAAAAATTTGTATATTATAGTATGAGTTGAAGAAAACGGCCACAAAACACAACTAAATGGGAAAATAAGAAGGGTTAAATTAGAGATTACCTCTAAATCTCCTGCAGCTTATGAATAAACACATGAAAAAGTTCATCAAAAGTTCAACAAAAAGGGAGGGAGAGATAAGACAGGTTTTTACATAAATGAAAGTAAGTCTCAATTTATAGGAGCTTAAGGTAGCATAATTATCAAAAAGTAGCAAAATCCTGACTGCCTGGCTATCCTAATCTATATGACTTTTTGTTTCTTTGAGTCATAAAACACAAATGTATAAAATGATTATATAATTCTGACTAGACTGTAAGAGTTTCTGCTCCATATAACTACATGATACCTAAGAGTTTAATATTTTTCACTATGTAACACTCCAAGAAAAAATTTTTTACAGCTCCAAAAATATAAACCCCTTTAGAGCTTTTTAACAACTCTTTTAGAAGAGGATTTTAGAACCAGATTATTTTAGGTATCAGAGTTTTCTAACTGTCATGAAAATTTTCCTTTGATTTCTCTTCCCTAAAATACTCAGTTAAACATTTAATGCTATACCCTATGTTAAGCATTATTGTGGTTACCAGAGAGGTAGATGGCACACTTTCTGACTCTGAGAAACTTTCAATTTGGTTTTGAGAAACAAATTATATATATATATATATATATATATATATA